GCCTCAGCCTCCCAGAGTGCTAGGATTACAGGCATGAGCCACCATGCCTGGCCGATTCTTCTTTGAAAAAACATGTCTATCTCTTCTATTTATTCTCTTTCCATCACTTACTCTGAGCACCTCTTAACTAGATTTACTACCTATGATTGTTTCTCTTGTTCAATCTATTTTGCATTATCACAAGATTAATATTTTTTTGTAATGCAAACTATTCACTTCACTCTCCTTCTCAAATACCTCAGAGGGCTTCCAGGTGCCTAAAGAGTAAAATAATAAATTCATGCTTTGTTTTTCAAATCTCTCCACATCTTCCTTTTCAAAATTACACTCCAGAATGCCTCCCATGAGTCGCTGCAACTGCAAAATTGCCTGCTGCCCCTAGAGCATGACACAACATCCCTGAACCCCTTTGCCTTTCTTGTCCTCTTTCTACTTCGCTCAGGATATTAACATCTTAGCCATCTTTTGAAACATGTCATATTCCACTACTACCTTTCCCATGAAGCTACCCCCTTTACTTTCTTATCCAAAATGGATTATATTGTCCATCTAAATGACTTTTGACGTTTATATTTTACTTCTTTAAAAAATTGCCATGTATACATATATCAACATATATATTTCAAGCTACTTGATTGCAGGCACTCTGACTGGTATTTTTCTGTATACCCTTTATTGCTAGAACAGCATCTTGCAAATATGAAGCTTGCCATGAGGAGCTATTGGTTGATTGGTTGGGAATGCTATCATAGACATACTTGTCAAAGGCAATTGTTACGCATTTCTTTAATTAAAGTATTTTCCCCAGTGTTTTACCCCAAATAACATAAATCTAAGGATTGTGGCTGAGAGGTCTAAAAATGGCGAAACTTTTGAAGAGCAGAAACTCTGCAGATATAAAAATTAAAGGGATTTTACAATTATAATCCATTTAGGCAATGGATGGAGGATGGGAATCATAATGACCATTTGGCTTATGGGGCTTCCTTTTATTTACTCTTTTTGTTTTACTTTGTTCACTAGCTTCACTCTC